TTAGGTCACAAAAACAAAGTTTTTTACACTTCAAAGACAACCTTAAAATAGTTGAAGAAAGGAAAATAAGCATACACAATAAGCTTAAATAAGGTAAGTGCTCTACCTTTGAAGCAAAGCACAATTTAGGCACAAATCCAAGCTCAAACCTCCTTCCAAAGCTCAAACAAGACTCTGAGGGACCTCAGCTCAATGGTGGTCAAGTTTGGTTAAGGGTTGGTGTGCAAAAGTGTAGAGAAACTAGACTTTAAGGCACAAAATAACAAGAGAGAGAGAGAATTCTAGAGAGAGAGAGAGAGAGAGATTTTTGGTCTAAAATGTCTAACCCCCCAAAATGGGAGAGGAACCCACCCGTTTATAGAAAAACAAGTCTTGAGCTTAAATACATCTCACCATACACGTGTATGAAGATGCAGCTCAGTGAGCAACAACTTGCATAACTGGCAACAAATATCTGGAAAAGGGGACCAATGGCCGTCAGCCACCACTTGTGGCCGTCGGCCACCACTGGTAGCCAACAAGCACAAGCCATGGCCGGCAGGTCACCCTCTCTTCCAGGCTAGAGGCAACAAGCTCTTCGTCCAAAAAAATGCACACAAAAGATAAGGTTTAGAGGCTCAAAGACAAGGCGTTCCGCCGAGGACTCCGGCCGCTCAAAACGAACACAAACAAGCACAATCATCGAGTGCAAAAACGATGACGTTCAAGTCTTGAGGACGGTAAAAAATGGAGTGTCTACATGGGGACAGTGGTTGAGGGTGAAACATGGCAGATTCCTAGGGATGCAGACAGAGTAGCTTCTACGGACTGTCTGCATGAGCACGCATTTGATTATTTTGTATTATTAATGTCATTCATTAATGTCATTCATGTTATTGTTGTAATCATTATTTTAATCAATTTTCATGTGTTAGTATTGTAAATCGTTATTATTGTAACTATTATTGTCATAACACCCTTGTTGTAATAAATTATTTATTCCAAATTTGTAATAAGTAGTTAGTTTAGCTAATTTATTATCATTCGGAGGATTTGTAATAGTTAGTTTAATTCGGACACTTGGACACTCATTCGGACCCTCATGTGCGAGGGCAAATATGTAATAATGTGTATATGTCTTTAATCTCCTTTTCTCTCCCTTTTATTTATCTGCTTATGATGGTAACATAGAACATCATGTTTCTTTAGTATTTCTCACGTTTACATACACTCGTCTCACATGCATTGATATTCGGCTCATCATGTAATATCATTGTCATTTTTAAAGCTCTCACTCGAATACGTACGTTGCTGCATGCCTTGAGTTAATCCACATGCCATGTTAGTAGCTGGATCTAAATAGTTGCATCTTGTGTGTGTTGCATTAGTCATATTGCATGGTTTAGGAGCATACATTTCGTCTAATTATTTTGTTTTATTTGGCTTGCCTTGGAGTACTAGGTGAGCGTTTATTTGTTTTAGCATCTTGTATTGTATGTTTATGTTGCCATATCAAGCATATTTTCCATGAGGCTAAGTGTTTACGTGATATACCTGTTTGAATGCCAGTGGATGATGGCCTTTTACTTAAGTTGGAATAAATTGATTAATGTACAATACAAGCTCGCTTTTTTTCAAGTGACATGTATTCAAAACACTTTTTCAAAACAAACATGAAATCAAAGCGTTCCAACTTTTGCAAAATTGGTCTATACTTGTGTGCATCACATAGTAATGTTAGCATAATAATCTGAACAAGAGCATATAATGTAAATAAGAATCACATCATGATTAGTAGAGGCCGATCTTTGATCGGGTAAGTGGGGTGCTTAAATCATGACTTTTCCTTCTCATACCTAAGTTCCTGAGCCAAGACACTTTGGTGATGACGGATAAGTGGCCTTTGGCACGAGTCACAGGTTTTTAAAATTTTTCAAAAATATTTAGGTGGTGACTTTGAAATCTGGTAAAGCAGTCCACTTTTGGCATTTGATTAAAAATCAATTTTCCAATAGATTTTCCGGATTTGGACTCATTTATATTTATCTATTTCACCTTGCACTTGTGAAATTAGATTCAAAACCACGAGAGCCTGAACTGTAGGGCTAATCGTATCCGAAAGGAGCACGAAAAGCAAGCTAGTTTTTGGTGACTCTATTGGGGATTTAGAGAACATGACTTGAGATTCATGATGTGTAATTTTATCTACATTTATATCTTATTTGCATTACATTTGCATTGTTACTCTAAGTCACTGTGTTTTCCATCTGCTATTCCTGGATGGCTTGCCTAAAAGCTTGCCAAAAACCTGACCGATCACAGGCTCTGCCATGTTGGAAACACAACCCTTGAATTTGGATTACCGCTGTACCGCTTGATCCTCCACTTCTCGATGTTAGGTGTGAGAGGTATATTAGGTAATCTTGCCGAGGTACCCCTTTTGACCAATCGGCCTAATTGCATATTGTAAAGCCATAGTGATTGTTCCAACATAGGACAGGATGCTCACTCGTATGCAAGATTTTGTGAAACTACTTGCTTGAAGTAGTGAAACCCTAGATCATATCGAAGCTAGGACAGGGAAACCTTAACCTCTCATACTAGTGTTTTGAATGCTTTTATGCAATGTGAACTCTTTGGCAATGTGTGTTGCAATCCTTGGAGAGTTTTAATCTTGAGGAGGTTCCTTTCATACCTTGAGGGTCATATCAGAAAGAGAATTTGGGTCAAAATCCAAGGGGTTTGTGTTTGATATAGTGGAAAAATATCGGAACCCGAACTAGAACCAGGCCCAAAATTTGTATCTTGCTTTGTTTTTGACTAGCATACCTGGTATCCTAATCTTATGGGGCATTTGTTTTTAATGCAATATTTGTTTGAGCCAAAGAAGGAGCAGTACCCAAGTCAGCAAACGCCAAGCCCAATCTGACCTGGAAAGCCTTAACCCATCACAGTCTATCTAATCCCAGAAAAAACTCACTTAGCAAAGGTTTAGTCCATCTAATCCCCAAAGCCCAAGTCAAAAAAGATTCATCCAAATACCAAAAGACCCATTCTAAAAAAGCCCAATCCAGTCAAATCTGTCTAGACTAATCCAGTCTAGATACATTGAGTATAGCTGGGTCAAAATCCTTCTTAGTCAGCTCTTAGCTTACACCCATCCATTTCCCCGATCGCTAACTCAACAGACTTGTGATGGCTCAGAATCTAGAAGAAGTTATAGCCATGATAATGACCCTAAACCAGGGAATTGCCATGCAGGATGAGACCAATGCTGAAATGCAACACTCATCTGGGGCATCTACCACACATCCAGTCCTGAGCCCCTAGCCGAACTTTGATCCACCTCTGCCAGTTGAAGATTTGCAGGGTTCAGATCCTCGAGAAAGGTTAGCTCAAGCTCGAGTTTTCAAACCCCTGGTGCAGCCTAATAAGGGATTTTTTTCCCTTGATATTAATGATCTCGACCCGACCTTGTTAAAAGTTGCTAGCCTTGAGAAGCAATTCAAAAAGGCACAGGGAATCAACTCCATACTTGATATTGAGAATGGGTACACCGAGGCTGCCGTACGACTCCCAGACAAATTCAAAATGCGAAACATTGACTGTTTCGACGGGTCTAGAGGTCCTATGGTGCATATCCGGCTTTTCTTGGACGTCTTGACATTGATGGGTCTAACTAAGCCTTAGAAACTCTCTTTGTATGGAAGAACCCTATCGGGTATAGCAGACTTTTGGTATGCCAAGTTGGAGGATAAAGTGAAGCAGAACTGGAAAGATTTGGCTGAGATGTTCGTCAATCAGTATTCTTATAACACTCAAATTGAAATGATCACCCAAGAGCTTGAAGCAACCAACCAGAATCCTAAAGAACCTTTTATTTAATTTGTTGCATGGTGGAGAGCAAAGGTAGCACAAATACAGATAGATCTTTTGAGAGGGACCAAGTGTGGATAGTGGTGTAGAACCTTGAGCCAGATATGTTACAAAAGTTAATAGTCACACCATTGTTCACTTTAAAAAATTTGCATGATTTAGGGGTTCAAATTGAGAGCGCATTTAACAAAGTGATTATTCTTAGAACAAGCGAACCCACAATAAAGGTGTTTTCCCGGAGTACCGATGCTAGCAATAGCATTATTCCTAAACCCAGTGAAATCAATATCGTTGTCACCACTCCAAAAAATGTCGACCCCTTTGCCAATACCAACCTACAAACAGCCAGCCCAACTCGAGCTCAAGGCAGAACTTTTACCCCCTACATATGAGCCTAACTAGCATACTAAAAGTCCTGATGGAAAGAGGGTATGTCAAACCCCTTTATCTCCAACCTCTTCCTGACCGACTCCCTGCTAGACATAACCCCATCAAATACTGTGTGTACCATCAACAGCGTGGTCATGGCACCGATCGTTGCTACCGCCTTCATCATGAGGTTTAGAATCTCATCGACAACCAAACAATAACTTCACCTCAAGAACCCAATGTTGCCACCAACCCACTTCCCATCCATGACCAAGTACCTCCTCCTCACCTTAACCTCATCCATACACTACTACCTACCTTCAACCCCAGTATATATATCACCCCGGCCTATTTACCCAAGCCTGAGGTGCTCATTCCAGGAAGCACAGACTTGTGCATGATGGATGCACTTGAACCAATCATCTAAAACCCCAAAACTTAATAACAGCACAATTCCAGTCCAACCTATGCCCAGGCCCGATCCTGAGATTTTTGGGGCCCAAAGTCGATAATCAACTACTAAATATCTGGGGCCCTTCACATTTTTTTTATTGAATAAAAAAAATTATATTAAAATCACAAAAAATACTTAGCATTACATTATAACAACTAATAAGTATCACTTGATCCTCGCTCTTCTTGCATTTTTAGAAGCAAATAAATCAATCATACTTGCATGATCTAATTTTTTGCAAAATCATTTTCAATGAATAACAATGCTAATCCATTCAATCTTTCTTGTGACATGGTTGATCGAAGGTAATTTTTGATGATTT